GCGGCTAAGCATTTGCCAAATGCAGTGAAATGTTGAACTAAAACATTCATCATTCATGAATTACTTGTAGTTATTTTAAAAAACTGATTATTTTTTATTTTGAATTAAAAATGAATCCATGTATCTATTTTATATTTATTATGATTATGAATCAGACTTTTTTACTCTTACGATTTTCGCGTACAATGTACGATTTTTAGATGTCTTTTACGATTGAACACCGACACCCGCCAAAACTACGATTTTCAGAGATCGGGTGAAAAGATATGTGTGTAATTTATCCAATTCAAAAAACGAAATGGCTATTCGGACCCGGGTCCGAGAAGTTTGAGGTTGGGATTAAAATTTTTTAAAATATATTATTGTTAGGTAGTAAGACAAAATTTTGTGTCAAATGAAAGATAATTAAATGGACCAAATATTTGTAACCTTAATTCTTCATTTTAACTAAAATAAACTACCACAAATGACAACCGAATAGCATTAATCTAAAGGGACCCGGGTCCGAATAGCGGCGATGCGTTTCCAGTTCCATTTTGACTACATGATAAAGAATGTTAAAGGTATAATTTCTTCGTCAAACCTGGAACCTGGATAATCACACGCAATTGTTAAAAGATCCAATTTGACGTAACACACAAGACGACTTACTGGAGAGAAACCCTACAAATGGGACATGTGTCTTGCTGCATTTAGTAATAAATGTAATTTAGTTCAAAACTCAAGAAGGCATACTGGAAAGAAACGCTATAAATGTGACATGTGTCTTGCTGCATTTGGTAGTTTTTTTCTAAAATAGCTAAGCACATAAGAAGACATATATGAGACAAACACTAAGATTGAGGCATTTTTTGTGTGATTTTGTTTGTATTTCTTATATCACTTGAGACAAAGGAAAACATACATGAGAAATTATCGCATGATGAGAATGATTCTACATTTCTACTAATGTTATATATCGGCATTATTTGTCATGAATTTTTATTTACTATAATTTGAATGAGACACAAAATACATGGCACGGATAATTTGGTTCATTGTAATCCAGGGGTGTCAAACTCAATCGCTTGGCGGGCCAAAATAAAAATCACACTTTAGGTTGCAGGCCGAACATGATAAACATTCAATAATCGGAAAATTAAAGCTTTTTTAAAAACATTAACAGCAATGAAAGCAGAAAATGTTTAAATAATTAAACATCGTCGGCATACCCATTTTCGCTCTTAAGTCAATTGGTCAGAGCTGGACGTTTGGCATCTTCTCTTGGCTACAAGTTCGTTAATGTTCGGAGTAACGTTCCGTGTCATTGAGATTCTCATGATTGGACTACAAGTGTTCCCCAGTGAGACGACTCCTGTGTGATGTTTTGTTAATCTTCATCACAGAAAACAGCTGCTCACACAGATATGTGCTACCCAACAACTTTACGCCACATGTAGACGGAGTTGGGGCATCTATTCAGGAACGAAACGAGTGAACTCTGCAGGCTCCACAGTGTCATACTTTGCCTTCAGTGTCCCATTACATTGCAGCTCTATTAGCTCCAGCTGCAAATTCACAGGTGCAGTTTCCATGTTAGGTTACGATACAGCTCGAAATTACTTTTCTGTGCTTCAAAATCAATAATGCGCCGTTCGAACTCGTTGCATAGTAAGCTGAGCTTTTCAGCAAAGTGTGCATTTGGGAAACACCATAGCGTTGACTTGGTTCAACATTACTTGGCAACAAGACAATTTAGACAAGTTGCATTGGTGCATTTGTGCCTCCCTCCCATAAGCGCGGCTTCACTTGAAATGCCGTTCCTTCATCGTGCACATAATAATAATAATAATAATAATAAAGTTCATTTCAAAAACACGCTTCATCCCCAAAGGCTCGAAGCGCGGTACAAAGTAAAAAAAACAACAAATCTATAGTTTACCACATTTAAAACAAACGCAACACGACAAAAACTAAGTACAAGCATACAATGGCAAAGTCTTTCTAGCCATTTCAACCATAAGCAACACAGCCATTATGCATTAACTGGAAAATAATGTTGACAATCATCCCAGAAGGTGGTCAAGTAGTCCCGTCCCTGGACCTGCAGGTTCAAGGCGTTGAGTGGTTATGTCAGACAGAAACGCCAACTCACCATTCCACGTTTTATCCCGAAAAACTGTGGAGTCTTTACCTTTGCTGTCCATGAATTGACAGATTTCCTCAATCAGCTAGTAAAATCTTCTGTGAACTTTTCTAAGACTTAGCCAACGCACCTGTGTGTGATAAGGCATGTCACCGAAATTTGAGTCTGTTTCCTGCAAACAAAAAATCTGGAAATGCCGGGGATTTAAACCTTTGATCATGTGCGTTTCAGAAAGTCTCCTTCTGTAAATTGGCTGGGCTGGCCTGATTTTGCGATCTACTCTGCTACAATAAAAATTGCTTTCACAGCAGCTTCAGTTTGTGATTTTCCTTTGGTGAAAAACGTCTTCTATGATGTTATACTCCTCTTCAATTCTTCTACCTTCTCTATCTTCTGCTCTGCATTCAGGCTTTTTAACTCGCCTCGATGTTTAGTCTCATAGTGCTGTCTCAGAATATATTCCTTGATCACAGCCACATTGTCGCCACTAATTAGACACACGGGTTTACCGACAATATCTGTAAACTTTGAAAGGCTCTGTTTTCAGAATCAATTTTTCTCTTTGCAATTTTAAGGCTAGCTTTGATTTTTTATTTTTTTTATGATTTTGCATCTACCGACAGACACTTGATTGATATCATGTTAGCCGTAGCGAGAAAAGTGATGTACACTACTTTAATTTCTTATGCGCCAATCAAAACGAGCAACTGACCGTTGCTAGGTTACTTAACGACGAACACCCAATCACTACACAACTTTTCTTTTCGCCTATTCGCATTGAAGCGAGAACGCTCTTAAGTGGCCTATCGTTCGGCAAGGCTGCCAATTGGGGACTTTGATTTGCACTTTACATCTCAGGACCATTAAAGAATATTTTTTTCCTAAAATTATGTCTCGGGCCTGATATAATTGAACGGCAGGCCGGATGTGGCCCGCGGGCCATGAGTTTGACAATGTGTTGTGATCACTTAAAACTACATGACAGGGAAAACGGTGGCACTTTGAAATTGATTTCACATAAAAACTTTTACTTGAAAGATTTTATTTTTCATTAAATTAAACAATTTTAACGTAAATTAAGTGTTATTTGCAATTTAGTGTTATCATAAAACAGAGAAAGATGAAATAACATTCAATTGGCACTGTAACAACATTTATATTGTCTACACTTCAAGATTGGTCAGGGTCCATTCTAAGTGGAGTGGGCGATTTAGTAGTTAAGGAGTAAACAGTAGCATAGGAAGTGTGATGAGGAGGGGCAATCTGCCCTGTGCATTACTCTTTTACTTATTGAGTGGGCAATCTGCCCTGTGCATTACTCTTTTACTTATTGAGTGGGCTGGCATTTTTGTCAAGCTGCAGATTTTTTTTCTTGGTGTGGGGCCTGCAAAAAAGTTTGACCTGCACTGGGAGGCCCTAACCTTAGAAATACCACTGGGAGTAATCAACTTTTACTATCTGAATCTGGCTAAGAAAGATGTTTGTAACCTTCATGGACAATTACAAAATATCATAAAGTTTAATTTGAACTTAAAGACGGGAGGTAAATGCTCTGCAAAATTTAATCTGGCCTCTAGTGTGCTTACTTGGAAGTTCAGTTTACGTACTACATAAGCTTGAAAGTTTTTTTGAAGTGTTTATTTGATCTGTAACATTGGGGGGGGGGGCGCGGGGGGGGGGGGAATTAGTCAGCATTATTAACATTATTTCATCTTAAGAAAGCTCGACAAAGCACACATTTCCAATGTTTAGACATGAGTAAGACTTAGACTTAGACTTAACTGGCCTCTAGTGTGCTTACTTGGAAGTTCAGTTTACGTACTACATAAGCTTGAAAGTTTTTTTGAAGTGTTTATTTGATCTGTAACATTGGGGGGGGGGCGCGGGGGGAGGGGGAATTAGTCAGCATTATTAACATTATTTCATCTTAAGAAAGCTCGACAAAGCACACATTTCCAATGTTTAGACATGAGTTAATTTGAAATAAGGCTTATCAATTTCGTACAAATAATTTGTTTTATATGTTATATTATTTACTTATGCCTTTCACCCTACCTGGGGCATAGGCCAGTGGGGATTGAATGGTATATTTGTAATGTAATAAGTAGTTATATTAATAATTAATTTAAAGCAATCGTTTTCTTTTAAATGTAATTGATTTTTTTTTATATTTCATTGTGTGGATCAAGAATATTGTACACATCAACTTTTATTGTATAGGTGTTAGAATATTATTATATGAAAAAAATTACAAATGACAGCCCTTAGTAGAAAGGTGTATGAGAACATTTTTTCCATTTAGTTAAATAATGGTAACCAAAAGAATATAATAACGATGAGATTTCCTTTGTTTTTCAATCTTTTTGAATGTCATTTTTTTTAAAATGTGTTTAAAAAGTAACTTGCATTTGAAATACTGCGTGTCCTTACTATATTTTGTGTCAATTTGGGACAATTTTTAATCTGTAAAGTACAAACTCTTAATAGAGAAAATGTATAAACATTTCAAATCGTCTTCGTGAGTTTATTTCCAATTTGACACAACCACGACTTATTATGATCGGTTTTATTAAATTAGTTTTCAAAATATCCAATTTTTATTTGATTTTCTTCTCCATCCCACCTCCATGTTGGCTATGGCCATTCTAGTTAAAAGAACATACATCTAGAGCCGGCATTAAGTACAGGCCATTGCCTGGAGCGCCAAACTCTAGGGGAATCATTTTTAGTCCCCCCCCCCCCACACCACCCCAAAACATTACTACTAAATTCACTGAAAACAAGTTTTATACAAATAAATTAATAGTATGCAGCCATTGCCTGGAGCGCCAAACTCTAGGGGAATCATTTTTAGTCCCCCCCCCCCACACACCACCCCAAAACATTACTACTAAATTCACTGAAAACAAGTTTTATACAAATAAATTAATAGTATGCTCTTCTTTGTTATTAGGTCAATAAGGTACAACCAAAACGGCCCAAAGTTATAAGAGCATTAGTATATTTAAAAGAATTATTGAGACCACCTAAAAACAAATTGTTTTAAAATGTAGTCTCTTTGTGAAAACATTAGGGTCATTTATTGATGACAATAAAGTTAATGGAAATCTTAATAATATTTTGGTTGGTGGTCAGGCCCTATACTTGGAATTAAAAGACAAATGATCAATATAATTTGTAAAGATTAATTAATAATTAGGATACTTTGGATAAACAGTGCAGATAGAGCTCAGTGTTTAGTTTAAGTCAGTTTCTCCTCCTTTACAAATGGCATTCAAATTTAAATAGTTTTTTTTTTAAATTTAATTTTTTTTTTAATCATTAAAATGCATCTTTACCTCAAGACTTATTTTGCAAACATGAAATTTGATTTTATTTATTTATATTTGGGGAAAAAGGGGGGGGGGAATAAGTTGTGTAAGAACTTATTGTCAAAGTTAATTAAGAAACGCCCGACTTGGCGTTGGGGGTGTTATTGGAACGTGTAGGAATAAGATCACTGAATTGAGAGGGGGAGGGGTACTATTGGAACGTGCAGGAATAAGATCACTGAGTTGGTAAAAAAAAAGGGGGGAGGGGGGTGCACTATTGGACCGTGTAGGAATAAGATCGTTATCATGAGAATTTGATGTTGGGCTTTATTTTTTTACTATTATTTATTTTTGCCTTAATTTGCTTTTTTTTTAGAAACTAGTAATTTGAATTTTTTTAGACTTAATTAAGGAGCTTAAACTTTTTTTAATACTCAGAGAAAAAAAAATTTCAGGACTCAAAGGTAACTTTTAGAAATGATTGTTTTAGCCAGTTTTTCAACCTAAAAAGTTAAGTGTTCTTCGCAAGAAAAGGCAGTTTGACTGTGAATCTAATTTATTGATAATTCTGCCTAACATTTTCGAGTCAAAATTTTAAATGCCATATTCGATGCTGCTATTAAATATTTGACAGAACGTTTTTAGCTCAATAAACTACTTAGCAAAAACTTGTACAAATAATTACTTAATGAATGGTTGAAAAAAATGTACATTTTTACAAAACTTGTAAATAAATCGGAATGTCCAAGATATTGATGAAAAGAAATGCTTTCTTGTGTACTGAACTATCTTAATTGTACACTAAATCAATTTACTTTAAATTTGTGTTTTTTTTAAAGTTGAAACCAAATATTTATTTATGTGTATATAAAGCTGAAATCGATTATGACATCCTTAATCACGATATGTGTTAATTGTGTTATTTGCTAAAAACAACAATAACCACCTGTATTTTACGGGTTAGTTGGTATGTTAGCAATAATATAGTACAGGTGTGTTGCTATGTTAGCAATAATATAGTACAGGTGTGTTGTTATGTTAGATATTATATAGTATTGGTGTGTTGGTATGCTAGCAATAATATAGTACAGGTGTGTTGTTATATTAGAAATTATATAGTAATGGTGTGTTGGTATGTTAGAAATTATATAGTACAGGTGTGTTGGTATGTTAGATATTATATGGTACACGTGTGGTGGTATTATGTTAGAAATTATATAGTACTGGTGTGTTGTATGATAGAAAATATATAGTACTGGTGTGTTGGTATGTTAGAAATTATATAGTACGGGTGTGTTGGTATGTTTGAAATTATATAGTACAAGTGAGTAGGTATGTTAAAAATTGTATAGTACAGGTGAGTAGGTATGTTAAAAATTATATAGTACTTGGGTGTTGGTATGTTATCAATTATATAATTCAGGTGAGTAGGTATGTTAAAAATTATATAGTACAGGAGAGTAGATATGTTAGAAATTATATAGCACGGTGTGTTGGTATGTTAGAAATTAAATCGTACTGGTGTGTTGGTATGTTAGAATTTATATAGTGCTGGTGTGGTGGTATGTTAGAAATTATATAGTACTTGTGTGTTGGTATATTTGAAATTATATTGTACGGCTGTGTTGTATGTTAGAAATTATATAGTACGGGTGAGTTGGTATTTTAGAAATTATATAGTACAGGTGAGTAGGTATGTTAAAAATTATATAGTGCTGGTGTGTTGGTATGTTATCAATTATATAATTCAGGTGAGTAGGTACGTTAAAAATTATATAGTACAGGAGAGTAGGTATGTTAGAAATTATATAGCACGTTGTGTTGTATGTTAGAAATTATATAGTTCGGCTGTGTTGGTATGTTAGAAATTATATAGCACTGTGTGTTGTATGTTAGAAATTATATAGTTCGGCTGTGTTGGTATGTTAGAAATTATATAGCACTGTGTGTTGTATGTTAGAAATTATATAGTTCGGCTGTGTTGGTATGTTAGAAATTATATAGCACTGTGTGTTGTATGTTAGAAATTATATAGTTCGGCTGTGTTGGTATGTTAGAAATTATATAGCACTGTGTGTTGTATGTTAGAAATTATATAGTTCGGCTGTGTTGGTATGTTAGAAATTATATAGCACTGTGTGTTGTATGTTAGAAATTATATAGTTCGGCTGTGTTGGTATGTTAGAAATTATATAGATCCACCCAAGACAAACCAACAAACCCCACTCAATTTAAGTTAAATCGTAGCTATAAAAAAAAGACTTTAAGCATAAGTTATTTCTGTTGAACCCTTTTTTTTTTTGAATTTCATCAGTACTGCATCATGTAAAGTACATCAAATATTTGAACTAAGAGTATTCAATGTATCATGGAATTCGAAAAATAAATACATTATATACACATTATGTACAATAGTGTAAGACATTATATATGCCTGTACAAGGACACAATTCAGGATAATATCTTTTTTGACATTGGTATATAAAAAAGTATGTTAATTAAATAAGCATTTCGAAGTAAATATAACGATAAAACCAAACAGACTAAACGTCCTTGACCCTCCCGAATTCCTAGTAACATTGCCCTGTGACGTCACACCACCAGCCGCGTCGTCGTCGTACAGCCAGTTCCCGCATGTCGGGAAGTTTCTTGGTGGTTTAGGGAACTGTTCCTTGGTTCCCACCTGAAACAGCAGCCCCATACCGATCTCTACATGGAACTCAATGTGACAGTGGAGGAACCAGATACCTAGGCGGTGGTGGGGGGGGGGGGGGCGAGGGGCAAAGAGATGGTGGTAAGAGTTAAATGACAGCTACTAACTAGGTCAACGGTAAGGTCCATGTGGTATCGACATGTTATATTGTATGTTGGTTACGATAATAATAATAGTAATAATAATAATAATAATAAGACGTCTTATACTATGAGATTAATTGATGGTGCCAACCTGTCTTCATTTATCTAGTAATAAAATACCATACGTTGGTTATGATAATATTACTATGAGATTAATTGATGGTGACAACGACTCTGTCTCCATGCATCTGATATCGACTAACAAAGTCTTAGAAATTTATTTCTCTTTTCCTGTGTTCAACTCGGAGGGAAATTGTCCACAAATAATTTGTAAATTGTCACTGCACAACTAGCTTTAGATTTGTTTCAATTTTTTTTTTTTAAATAGTGAACAAACAAATCGGCGAATGACCAATGTGATAATAGGTACACTTTGAAAGGCGCTATTGTGGTCAGCCGGTTATGCGGTCAGCCAGTCATACGGTCATGGGGTCAGCCGGTCATGTGGTCAGTCACTCATGTGGTCAGCCGGTCATGCGGTCAGTTTTAATTGTAAAATCGATGCATTAATTTTAATTGATGTCATTGCACAAGACGTGACATAGTAAGCCTACCCGGATTGTCTGCCTTGAATCGTACGATCGTGTACCCTCCATCAGGAACGGTAACTGAATCTTTCAGTGGAGCCTTAGTCTTTATCCTTTTTAACTCCCCTCTTTTGTCCATAGCTTTTATTTCTGCCAGCGAAGTGGAAGTGTTCACCTAAAAATTTTGGAATAATAATCTTTAACACAAAAACAAACGAACATTTTAATTCTCGTGTGAGTTGAAGGAGAGCGGATGGGTGGAATGTGGAAAAAAGTAGTCATAAGGGTGGGTAAAAATATAATTGCCCCCCCCCCCTAAAAAAGTAAGTAAACAATAATTTAAAATAAATAAATAACAATTTAAAAAAGGCAAATAGCACTGACAAAAAGTATTCAAATAAATATATTACACATGACACAGGGAAATAACTCACAAAATGACTTTTCCATAATCAAGAAAGAAAATACAATTTTAAACAAACTTTTTTTAAAGGCAAAAATTATCGGCCGACGTCAAAGTGGCACACAGTTTGAGGTACTTACTTTAAAACAACAAACACGATTTTAATAGAGATTTGATTTTTATGCAATGCGATTACCCTGTCTATTCCCACGACCCTGAACTTGTAGCCATGAAGGTGCATTGGGTGGTTGGCGTCAAAGGTCACGCCCTCATCTATGAGAACCAGCTCCACCAGGTCATCAAGGCTGACCTGGTACATGTGCACGCATGCGCACCACTCCAGCTCACAGTGCTTCTGTACAGTTTCAGCATTGCAGTACTTGTCCTTGTGAAAATAATTAATGCTCATTTAAAAAAAAATAATAACAAATTGACACAGAGAGTAAGAAAAGGTCTTGTAGTAGGTGGGGGGTCGAGGTTAGGTCTCACCTGGGAGAGACCAGTAGAAGAGTCTCAACACAATAATAGCGAACTTTCGATATGTTACAACCAGGCTGGTGTAACATCGAGCTTACAGTGTGTTAACACATTTTAAGCCAATTCAGCAACATATCCCCAGCCGTAAGAAAGATGGTCCTATAGGTTCGGCTCAGGAGGATGGTGAGTTCAAGCCAATAGATCATTCTTGATGTTGGGTAGTTGCTGAACAACAAAGACCGTCCTTAAGTAAATGTTGGTGTCGAGATTCTGTGTCAATAATAAACCCGGACACATCGGAAGACCCAGTGAAAGCTCGAGCATCGTGGTGTTCCTCCTTTCATGAAGGCTCCATACAACATGAAGCAAAAAGAAAGTTCAAAGAGCGTTCCTCCGTACATAAAGGCTTCATAAAACATGAAACAGACAGAACAGCGGTCACAAGGTGCTAAATTAACTCTGTACCCGGAGATGTCCCCTGTACACATTACACACAGAGCATTTCGTGACAAAATTGGCCTCATGGGCCATCTGCACACCCATACACAGAAAAAGAACATGCAGGAATCCAACGTTTAAATTTTTATCGATCAATTTCAATGGACGAACTGAGCATTTTTATTTTAAAATGGCTTTATTATTGCCCACCATCTATTATCAAAGTGTACACATCCGACGTCATAGAAAGATTTAAAGTCAAAGTGACCTAACTCGGGGACCTTCAGTCTATTTTTAGGGTTAAGATCCATTTTATAAATTATATCTGCTTAGAAGTTATTTAGTGAGCTGCTGGTAAAAGGGGGGGGGGGAATGTTGCTGTTTATACGGTACTCAACATCATAAAAAGAAGTAAAAACACTTAATAATTCAAAGGGCCGCAGATTGCCGACCAATGCCTTACTGGCAACAGAAAAGGGTGGTTCCTTTTAAAAATGTATTTGATTGACGCATTTGTAAGACAAAAAGTCTTGATAAGTCTTGATAATCTGAGTTTTCCAAGATATTCCTTTATACTGACTTGGTAAGGGATAAAATGATGTCTAAAAAAAAGCTGTTTTCATAAGTAATAATAATAATAATAAAGTTTATTTGAAAAACACGCTTCATCCCCAAAAGCTCGAAGCGCGGTACAAAGTCAACCACATTAAAAAAAGAAAATAAAACAATCTAAAATTTACCACATTTAAAAACAGACGCAACAATATAAAACTACATACGAGCATACCCAGTCAAAGTCTTTCATCCCGTTTCAACCATAAGCCACACAAGCCAATATACATTAACTGAAAAAGATGGTAGATAGCATCACCCCAGAAGGTGTTTGCGAAATAGATGTGTTTTTAATCGGTTTTAAAGGACTCCAGTGTCTGGCTGTTTCTGAGAGCGACAGGATTTCGAAATGTGGACAAACCAATAAAAACGTTAAATGGTTAACACCACATAGAACAGGTCAGCGGTGCGTATACCCTTGATAGAACAGGTCAGCGGTGCGTACACCCTTGATAGAACAGGTCAGCGGTGCGTACACCCTTGATGGAACAGGTCAGCGGTGCGTACACCCTTGATAGAACAGGTCAGCGGTGCGTGCACCCTTGATAGAACAGGTCAGCGGTGCGTACACCCTTGATAGAACAGGTCAGCGGTGCGTACACCCTTGATAGAACAGGTCAGCGGTGCGTACACCCTTGATAGAACAGGTCAGCGGTGCGTACACCCTTGATAGAACAGGTCAGCGGTGCGTACACCCTTGATAGAACAGGTCAGCGGTGCGTACACCCTTGATAGAACAGGTCAGCGGTGCGTACACCCTTGATAGAACAGGTCAGCGGTGCGTACACCCTTGATAGAACAGGTCAGCGGTGCGTACACCCTTGATAGAACAGGTCAGCGGTGCGTACACCCTTGATAGAACAGGTCAGCGGTGCGTACACCCTTGATAGAACAGGTCAGCGGTGCGTACACCCTTGATAGAACAGGTCAGCGGTGCGTACACCCTTGATAGAACAGGTCAGCGGTGCGTACACCCTTGGTAGAACAGGTCAGCGGTGCGTACACCCTTGATAGAACAGGTCAGCGGTGCGTACACCCTTGATAGAACAGGTCAGCGGTGCACGCACCCTCGATAGAACAGGTCAGCGGTGCATACACCCTTGATAGAACAGGTCAGCGGTGCGTATACCCTTGATAGAACAGGTCAGCGGTGCGTACACCCTTGATAGAACAGATCAGCGGTGCGTACACCCTTGAGGACCGTAGCGGGTACTCCATTCCGTCATGTCTTGCGATGGATTCTCTGGTATTTCTTTTAATCTAATACTTTTACCTTTGGAACGTCATCATACTGGCTGAGGGGCGGGGAGGCGGGCAGCAGTGACGTAATATGGTTGATCTGGGGAGAGAACAGCTGTTTCTTCTTGACCACCGATGACAAAGGGTAGTACGAGGGGTTGTTGAAGCGCGAGTTGTCTATCTTGTTGAAGTCCATCGCGAGGTAAAATTTCTTGTTGGGCTCTGCCGTCAGCGTGTCGTCATCAGGCTCAGTGTTGACCATGCGAGTGAGCTCAATTTGAGTTGCCGTGCCTTTGGCGTTCCAAGGGTTCAGGAGCTGGCGATTAGAATTAGAAGGTTTTGGGGATTACATTTTTAACAAGTCTGGGCTGGGAATATTCACTGTGATTTTTTTTTAAAAAAGAGGCAACAGCAGACCACGATAAGTTTTTTTTATCAATTTGTTCTTGAAAGATTAATTCCTAAAATAATGTTAAAAGCCCCGTACTAGTCCAGTAAGTGACATATTTGATGGAGTTGCTTCCGGTAGCAGGGCGTCAGGCGCTCCCTCGTATTTCAAAATGGCGGTCTGGTTGGCGGCCTTGACATTGCAGTCTGCCAAGCCACGGACTTTAATCAAGTAATTCCTGTCATGTGGAGAACATTGACTTTTCATGTTTCAACAACAACCAAAAATATGACCGTTCAAAGTAAAGTTAAACGATTTAAAACGTGTGTGATTATCATCAACTTTTGTGTTGTGACTGATGTAAACTGTTGTCTTGTGATTGACCTAAACTATTGTGTTGTGATTGACATAAACTATTGTGTTGTGATTGACATAAACTATTGTGTTGTGATTGACATAAACTATTGTGTTGTGATTGACCTAAACTATTGTCTTGTGATTGACCTAAACTATTGTGTTGTGATTGACATAAACTATTGTGTTGTGATTGACCTAAACTATTGTGTTGTGATTGACATAAACTATTGTGTTGTGATTGACATAAACTATTGTGTTGTGATTGACATAAACTATTGTGTTGTGATTGACCTAAACTATTGTCTTGTGATTGACCTAAACTATTGTGTTGTGATTGACATAAACTATTGTGTTGTGATTGACCTAAACTATTGTGTTGTGATTGACATAAACTATTGTGTTGTGATTGACATAAACTATTGTGTTGTGATTGACATAAACTATTGTGTTGTGATTGACATAAACTATTGTGTTGTGATTGACCTAAACTATTACGCTGTGACTGATGTAAACTGTTGTGTTGTGACTTACGTTAATTAGTGTCTTTGTGACTGACGTCAACTTCTTGCATGTCGACCTAACGATGACTTTGGGGAGTGATGTGATCTTCTGTTTCCATTCGGCTACAGTATTTATTACTATTATATTATAATATTTCATTATGCTTTATAATTTATGGTTATAATTTATGGTTTATACCTCGGCGTTTCCATTTTATCAGCATAAAGCACGAAGTCAAATCTCTCCCCAGCAAAAATGTTGAATGTGTCCACAACGATCGGCTCAAATGAGTTCCCATCTGATGCTATGACAGTCATGGTGTGTCCCTCTATTGAAATCTGTCAACATTATTTAGAATACAACTGTTATATTATAATTATAGCAACTTCGGTCAACTTTACGTCAGAGTTTCCCAAATTTTGTATTTAATTGACCCCACTCCCTGAAAATATCAACTCTGGAACCCCTCTTGCCTTTTAGGTTAAAACACACACACAAAATAATTGTATCATAAATCTAAAATGACAAAGTTGACCAAAAAAACAATGATTGCTATAGTAATTCAACTTAACTAAGCAAATCTTCCAATATATTTTCAAAGCGCCAAAATGGTTATAATCTTCATAGAAGAACACCCCAACAATGTTCGTAGACGCTACAACCATACAGTACACCCCAACAATGTTCGTAGACGCTACAGCCATACATTATACCCAACCAGTGTTCATTGACGCTAAAACCTTACAGAACACAGCTACAATGTTCATAGACGCTACAACCATACAGCACACCCCAACAATTTTCTTAGACGCCTTTCTTCTTCTTCTTTATATTAAGAGCCCACGATCAATTTATTGATCATTCTGGCTCCTTTGCATGTAGAGGGGATTTGCAATGTTTCTGTGCCTGGTGTTAAAGAGGATATTTCACTTGTTGCAAGGGCCACTCGGTGAGGGTATCATGAACTGGGAGTTGAAAAGCCTATGGGAATAGACGCAAATGTTTCAAGTGTTCTCGCCTCAACTGTTCCCCTTGGAATATTGTTCCAGTCCCTGATTGTCTTAGGTAGGAATGGGCAGTTCCTGTACTGGGTTCTTGCTGGCATGTGTCGGGACTTCCTGTCATGGCCTCTTCGCTACTATGGGGGAGAGGGACAAGTTTCTGTTCAATGCTGGAGCAGTGGTCCAATCTATTATTTATCTTGTACCGGTACATCATGAAGAGCCTGTATAGACGTCATCGTTCCTCCAATGGTGACCAGCCCAGTGTTTCCAGCATGCTGCCAAAACTAGCGGATATTCCTTTGATTGTGAATCTATTATATTGAGAACCCTGCCTAATATATTCGTGTCGAAATTTTAAATGCCATATTTGATACTGCTATTAAATATTTGACAGAACGTTTTTACCTCAATAAACAACATAGCAAAAACTTTGAAAACAATTACAACCATCTCGTAATGAATGATTGAAAAAATGTACATTTTCACAAAATGTGCGAAGAAATCGGAATGTCCCAGATATTGATGAGAAGCAATACTTTCTTTTGTTTCATTTTAATTGTACATATATTAAGTCGCCATTGGCAAAAAAACAAAAAACAAAAAAAAAATCACAACTGAACTTTCATAAATTTTAAAATCAAATCAATATCTGGATTATTTTCCGTTCCAAATATATTACTAATAATACAGGAGCCCATTGGCGCCAAAATCGTTTTCAGATAGTATCTTAATAGTAAATTAAAATTTAAAAAAAAAACAGAAACAAAGGGCGCCACAAATCGCATTTTTACCGATCCGCCCCGGTGCCACATTTCCTCGGCATGGCGCCCCGTTCTTGGTCGCTTCGGCTCCGCGGAGAAGCCCTGCGATATTAATAGACCCATCATTGTAGTTCGACTTTTCATCCAATCTTCAATCTCGCGGGCTTGGTGAAAACACTTGAGTAGCTACTGTTTACTATTTACTAGATTCTTACCCCACCCTTTATGTCTTTATGTTTATTTATTGGCTATTTAGAATTGAACTTTTTAGAATTTAACAAAGGGGCGTCAGGCGAAAACCCACATTTGGCGTAAGCCCCGGAGTTCGCAAATTGGATGAACCACCGGCGTAGCGGAGTTGTGGGTTGGGGGGTGGGAGGTGGGGGGTGAGAGGTGGGAGGTGGGAGGTGGGGGGTGGGGGGAGGGGGGGGGTTGTGATAAGTCACACGCACCTTGAACATGCGTCGGACGCAATATTACTGTAATACTGCTACTAGTCAGTGGCGTAGCTAGTGTTGGTGTCGCCGCCCCCCCCCCCCAAGACTGCTACGATGGAATTCTTCTTGTTAAAATAAGTGAACAGTATAACAATGACAAGAAGAAAAACAAATTAATTGAAGGTCAGGAGGTAAATGTATTTAATAGCTGTATCAACGTAAAGTTATCGTTATTTTTACATTAAATTTACTTTTTTTAAAAATTAAATAAATTTGAATTAAAAAGTTATTTTAATTTATACCGATTCTCTTCGCGCACTCAGAGTCGCCCGACTAAATCGTATTTGGGAAGCTTTATTTCCCCCCTAGCTACGCAAGGTTGACCAAATCATGAACCGGAAAAAAAGGGCCACAACCAAGGAGGGTTTAGTGGGATACCCTCCGGCTAAAGAGGGGTCCGGGGGTCTCTACCGGAAACTGTTTATTGAAATATGCTCATTTTAACAATTTTGAGACCTAGAAATCTTTATAAATTTACCTTGACTTTTGTAATTTAATTTACACTCTGAGGCATATCATAAACGTAAACAATAATTTTTCAGTGAATACTTATTTATTTATAAATAGTTTACAACATAATACAACACAACAAATTACATTTCTCGAGTCTAGGATTTCAATTGATTATATTTGGCTCTTGTCCCAGCGATTGTTAAAACCTCCATCTTATCTAATATAAAGTTGTCAAAACTAAAACAGTCCATTTCGAAATTGTAGAGAACCTGCAGGATTGCAGAAAGGGCCGCCACTCTCATCTTGTTTTCTTTCGTCTGTCCATTGAATGTTCACGAGCGAAAAGATTCTTTCAGTTTAAGAATTATGGGCACGGATCGCAGCGTCAGCAGAGTGGTGGAGGGGGAAACAGTGCAGCCATCACGCGAGCCGAAATCACTACTGGCACTGGCTGCACAGCTAGAAGTTTTAGTGATTTGAAAATATGTTTGGTTTTGGAAACGGGATATTTAGGCGCCCTGATAGACGTTTGGTCACTCTAAGCTACACCCCTGTATCGACATCAAAGTACTAGGTTATTTATTAGAACTGCACTGTGAGGCGACAAGCACCAATCGTTTGTTCATTGTACATACAATTAAAACCGTTCAATACATTTTTATACACTTTCAATTGAAAAAAAAATTTTGAAAAAAAAATTCATCAAATTGAGTCTTTTTTTTAAAATAATATAACCGTTTATAAGATATTATTGTTCGTCCGTCGAAGATCAACGATCACCATCGAGTCGTCCGGTGACTGATGACTTGCACGGGTGACTTTTGTTAAAAGTTGCGCGGCGTCAACCTCACTCTCTCGTCCGGGCCCACAATACCCAGTGGGCAAGACTCTACGTCACGACGACCAGGGATGGGTACGGTTGCAGGAATTGTCATTGTATGCGTCTTGCGGGACTCCAATTTCGGGTTTGAAGTCACAGTTGCCTTCTCTTAGATGAGTTGCCGACCAAGGTTAACGAGTCTCATCCACTCGGGGTGATGTTTTTGTATGACTGGCCTTTGGCTGGATTTTGAACTCCAGACCACCAACTTGAGGTTTGCTCAGTTTAGACCATTCGGCCAGCCATCTGAAAATAAGATTACTAACTAATTGAAGGGACTACTATGCGTAAAAAGCAAGAGGTTCAAGGTCGTTAAAAGGTCAAACCTGTATTGGACAGTTCATGATGGCGCTGCTGATCACACGGAAGCGATACTTCTTGCCGCCTTTCACCGTGAATGTTGCCCTGGGTGTGAAATAGGAAGTGCCGTTGTCGCCCTTGAACTCTTGATATTTCCCCATCCCTGAAAATAGACATGGAATATCGTTAGATTGTACTCTTGACAGTGCCGTAATCGCATTGCGAGAATAAATTTCAACTCGCACGCATTTTTGAATTGTACTTTTTTTTTTTTTGATTTTAAAATTATAGAATAGCTTTCCTGTAATATTTGCTGACAGGGCGCCGTCCATAAAGTACGTCACGCTCCGGGGGGGGGGTGTAAGAAAGTGTTACAGTTTGTTACATGGGGAAGGGGGTGGTCAGGCCATGTGTGACGTCACACATTTATTTATTTTTGTATTTTATTTTTTATTTTTTAGTAGTATGTAATAGCTTTAAAAATAATTTTTAAACATTTTGTGAAACATTTGAATTAGTTTTATGTCAAAATAGCATGAAATGCCTATCTCCTGAATGTGTTGTTCACGATTCCTCTCGCTAGGAGCGCTAGTGTGCTGTTGCGATGCCTTGTTTTATGTTATAGACTTGCTTTCGTCATGTCTGAGGTATCATTATTTCTATGTTGTCCGCTGCATAATTATATCACTGAGCGAGAATTTTGGAATGTAATTGACCTCCTCACCTATTGTAAATGAAAAAGCAGCAGATATATGATGTGTATTATATAATTGTCTTGTCTAATTTTTGCAATTATTGTTTTCAAATTCAATCTAGATTGAGTTACTGCTTCAATGAATAACTGTGACAACTGTTGACAATTAACGATTCTACCATTAAAGTCATTTTAATAACGTGATAGTTCTTTTAAGAGGAAATTTTATATTTTAATACAGTTTAATAGTGAAGTGTGTTTTAGATTAAATTTTAATTAGGTGTTAGTTACGGTAATTAAAAAAAAAATTGTTCGCAAGTGTGACGTACTTTGGGGGGGGGGGGGGGTCCGAGGTTTTGTGCCAGTTTGTGACAGGGGGAGGGGGGTGTTAACATTTGTCAAAAATAACGTGACGTACTTTAATGGGCGGCCCCCAATTGGGAAATTCTTTTGCGCAGTTTCGATAAAAGACTTCAATGCTGGGAACCAATTAATGTTACTTGGGAACCAATTAATGTTACTTGGGAACCAATTAATGTTACTTGGGAACCAATTAATGTTACTACATTGAAATAATGTATTAAACATAAGATTAAATCAATAAAGTGATAAGTAATATAATAAATAATAATAATAAAGTTCATTTCAAAAACACGCTTCATCCCCAAAGGCTAGAAGCGCGGTACAAAGTCAACAAAAACAAATCTATAATTTACCACATAATTTACCACATTTAAAACAAACGTAACACTACAAAAACTAATTACTAGTATACAATGGCAAAGTCTTTCTGGCCATTTCAACCCCAAGCAACACAGCCATTATGCATTAACTGGAAAATAAGGTTGACAATCATCCCAGATGGTAGAATATGTAGAAAGGAGGTTGAGAAACAAATCAAAATGAAGTTTAACATAAGCGAAATCATTAACCATTGATCAGCATCAGTTCGGGTTTGTTGTCCCCGTCGTCATGGTGATGTGCCGCAAACCTGTTGACGGTCATCTCGGCCAGCCAATCCGTGACGACCACGACGTGCTCCGAGAGGTCGTAGTCATAGAGATGGTAGTGAGGCTCACGCCCGGGAGGCCTGCGGATGATGAACGGCCCGTACAAGCCGTCGGCCCTCTGAACGCCTGCATGCGCATGCCAGAAGTGAGTCCCGGGATTATCAGCCTTGAATCTGAAACAGTTGACGAGCTAGGAAATGGTGAATTTGTCATTTAAAGTTAAAGTCCAGGGGTCCCCAACCTTTTTATCATTGTGGACCGATCACCGTTTGAAAATTTTTACCGCGGCCCGCTGAAAATTGGGGGGGGGGGCGGTGAGTGATTCTTTATATTTTAGATAATTTTGATTTAATAATTTTAATTTAATTGTATTTAAACGTACCTTCAAAATAAAATACAGTTACACCAAAAAATGATTATAAAGTGATTTAACATTTTAAATCACTAGAACGATAAAGTAATGAGAATCTTGAGCTTGTTTTTCTGCTACGAGGCGGTTCCTTCAGGGCTCATAGGCAACAATGACTCCCGAAATGTGTTGCTTATGTCCAGTTTATTCGGTGTTTTTTTGTTGCTTTTTTAGGTTGCTATCACTGCAGAAAATTCCGCTTCAAACAGATAGAGTGTCGGAGATGGCAATAAGGATTTAAGTGCCGTGGTGGCAATCTCAGGGTATCCCGCCATGACTTTAATCCAGAACACCGGCAGTGTCGTTGTCTCGAACGTAGTTTCAAGGCGCCGTCGTTTGCAACCTCCAGCATTTGATCGTCTTCTTGTACAGACATGCTAGATTCGCCTGGTTTGTTGACAAATGGGTCGCGGATCCATTCCTTACCAGTTCGTGGGTCTTTTTGGGAGTAGCACTCAAACTTTTTTTAAAAGCAAAGACATGTGAACGTACACCGACTTGGAGATTGAATGTTTAGGCTCAGTCTCGCCTTAAAACTCCGCTAATGTTTGAAACATGTCCAAGAAGCCTCTATTCACTCGCCGTCCCCACGACTCAAGTTTGGCTTTTTTAAGTGCAGCTTCTTTGTCTGCCAACTTGAAAACAGTTGTCATTTCCCCCTGAAGGGACAGATTTGGTTCACTGAGCAGGCTGAATATGTCACACAGGTCACAGCCAGTTTTGAAAGGACAGATTTGGTTCACTGAGCAGGCTGAATATGTCACACAGGTCACAGCCAGTTTTGAAAGGACAGATTTGGTTCACTGAGCAGGCTGAATATGTCACACAGGTCACAGCCAGTTTTGCGCCCCATACCTTGTCACTGAAATGCACTGCCAGCGGTGACGTCATTTCTGAGAGAAATCTTTGCAATGGCTCTCGTAATTCAAATACTCTGGTTAGCCATTTTCTTCTGGACAACCATCTTATTTCTGTGTAAAGGAGAAAGCATCTGTGCTCTGCGTCCGTCTTATCACGAAGCTGCTCAAAAAGGCGCGAGTTAAAGGTGTGTGCTTTGATGTAGTTATTAAAATTAAAATCCGGTGATATTTTCGGCTTTCCCGCATTTTCATGTGAATGATACAATGCGTAGATTTTAAGAACAACAAGTCAATACTACTTGTTTATGTGCGATATCTTAAACAGGAGGATGTGCATGAGAATTTCTTATGTGAACTATCTCTGCCAACCAACACACACCAATATATCAGGACAACTAAAATCGTTCTTTTGTCTTGGCATATGCACAGACGGAGCTGCTGCCATGACCTGGCGACTGTCTGGTTTAACTGCTCGGCTTAAGGAGGTTACACCTGAGAGGGAATCTACGTGTAGGTTCGTCAAAAGTGCGTACCAGTACCAGAGCACAGTGGGCATGCTAAAGTGGCATGGATAACCGCTCGATATAAATATCAAAATCAATCAATCAATCAATGTATTAATCCTCTCCAACAATTGTATTTAAATGTCTTCGGCTATTTCCTCAATGCACCTAGTCACAGTGCTAGCCCACAAAGGCACATGTGCTATCATTTTAACAGTATTCTCTCCTAGAAGTTCACGGCAAATGTCTTTAGTGGAGGGCAAGATCAATTCTTCACCGATAGTGGATGGCCATAGCAATACGGTTAGCCACCAAATATGATGCTCTCAGTGCACTCTCCTTATTGATGTGGTGGCCCTCAGAAATTTCTTCTGTCCTTCGTGTTCCCATTTTTTTCTTTCAAAATACTCCAGGGGCGTGTCGTTTTATCCAGGGTGCTCGGCGTTTGAGTGGCGAAGCAGTTTTGAAAGTTTCATTGCCTCATTAGAGAGCCGGTCATCGCAAACTATGAGGAGCGTGGTTGGTGTGTGGGAATCACCTGTCCCGATAAATCCGTATTTCAAGTAGGACTCATGGTATTTTCTGTTAAAAAGTTGTATGTTTCTTCGATGTTGAAGGCTCTTCTCCTGTCTCTTCACTGATTTCCTTTTCCCTTTTCCCAAGGGAACTTGCTAACGACGTCTGTTTCGTATTCAATTTTTTTTGCTAATTTGTTGGTTAAATTTGGGCGCCTAAGTGACCTCGAAACTAAACCATGGCTAAACTCAGATAATAAATGTGAACGAAAAAGGGCACCAATAAAACACAATATACACGTACACCCCTGCCCCCACTGCCCCCCCCCCCCACTAACCCATCACCCAAGGGAACCATTCATCAAGTTATACGTATATATCAATAAAACAAATATGTTGTTCCTTTCAGATTCCACTTCAGCATTAATGGTTAAATTTGGGCGCCTAAGTGACCTCGAAACTAAACCATGGCCAAACTCAAAAAAAAAATGTGAACGAAAAAGGGCACCAATAAAACACAATATACACGTACACCACTGCCCCCACTGCCCCCCCCCCCCCACTAACCCATCACCCAAGGGAACCATTCATCAAGTTATACGTATATATCAATAAAACAAATATGTTGTTCCTTTCAGATTCCACTTCAGCATTATATTAACTTAGCGAACCGTTCTTCAGCCTTGACAAGCATAGAGAGGTAAACTGTTATTATAGTTGTAACAGGTCAGTGGTTCTCACCCCCCACCCCCCACCCCCCCCCCAAAAAAAAAAAAAAAAAAACCTATAAAATTATTTTCGTTGCTACTTCATAAAAATGTGTTTTCCGATGATCTTAGGCGACCCCGTGTGTAAGTGTTTGGACCCGCAGGCTGAGAACCGCTGCAATACTGCAATGGAATACATTTTTAAAAATCCCCTCTTCCATGGGCTGCGTGACACAAACGACAGAAACCGGCAAACTAACACACATAAAACAAAACATCACCACGTGATGCACACAGGAGCGAGCTTTTGATCTCTGCTACGTCATCAAAAACTAAAAATAATATTAAATGTTGCGTGTGAATCATGCCCCCCCCCCCTCCCCCAACTTCCCGACAGCCACGGCCATGCATATTTATTATTTGACTACGGTTCATTGAGAATGCATAGACCACAAGGTAGGGAAAGAATTTATATGGCAGGAATCATTTGATTCAGGGATTGCGGGAGGTTGTTCAGAAAATGAAGTTAGAGCAGATTAGCAGTGTATTAAGCGTTTACTTTGCGACACACGGTAGATCAGGGGTCGGCAACCTTTTTGTCTGAGACAGCCAGGGGCACCACATATTTTGAAAAGTAATTCTGTGTGAGCCATACATTATGTTTAAAACTAAAAATTGTAGAAAATGTGTAGAATGAAATATTGATATGCAATTAATATGCAGATCAAATATTTTTTTTATATAATCAAACATTTGTCTGCGAGCCAGATGCAGCCATCAACAGAGCCACAACTGGCTCGCGAGCAAAAGGTTCCCGACCCCTGCGGTAGATGAATACACAGGGATTCACCCACGGCAATGGAGACCTAGGGTAGTGGAGATCTAGGGTAGTGGAGATCTAGGGTAGTGGAGATCTAGGGTAGTGGAGACCTGGGGTAGTGGAGACCTAGGGTAGTGGAGACATGGGGATAGTGGAGACATGGGGGTAGTGGAGACCTAGAATAGTGGAGACCTAGGGTAGTGGAGACCTAGGGTAGTGGAGACCTAGGGTAGTGGAGACCTAGGGTAATGGAGACCTGGGGATAGTGGAGACCTAGGGTAGTGGAGACGAAGGGTAGTGGAGACATGGGGATAGTTGAGACCTCAGGTAGTGAAGACCTAGAGTAGTGGAGACATTGGGGTAGTGGAGACCTAGGGTAGTGGAGACCTAGGGTAGTGGAGACATGGGGATAGTGGAGACATGGGGGTAGTGGAGACCTAGAGTAGTGGAGACCTAGGGTGGTGGAGACCTAGGGTAGTGGAGACATGGGGGTAGTGTAGTCTTCGGGTAGTCGAGTTCTGGGGTAGTGTAGATCTAGGGTAGTGGAGACATGGGGGTAGTGGAGACCTAGGGTAGTGGAGACCTAGGGTAGTGGAGACCTAGGGTAGTGGAGACATGGGGGTAGTGGAGACCCAGGGTAGTGGAGACCTAGGGTAGACGAGACCTAGGGTAGTGGAGACCTAGGGTAGTGGAGACCTAGGGTAATGGAGACCTGGGGATAGTGGAGACCTAGGGTAGTGGAGACGAAGGGTAGTGGAGACATGGGGATAGTTGAGACCTCAGGTAGTGGAGACCTAGAGTAGTGGAGACATTGGGGTAGTGGAGACCTAGGGTAGTGGAGTCTTCAGGTTGTGGAGACTAAGTGTATTTGGGACCTGGAAAAGTATGTGCCAAAGTTTTATGATTTTTTAAAAATAAAAATGACGTAATTTAGGATAAAATACATTTTTGAAAAAAATCGAACTTTACTCTTGAACTACTGTAGCACACGACTCTATCCTTGCCCATTAGCATGGACGCCCAATTCTTCTGAATTGACTAATTTATTGCCCAGCATTGAGAAACGAAATCAACTCAAGTCAAAGTCTCCGTAACAATTTAGTCAGATCTATGCAACTGACAAGACACTATTAAGAATATGTAACTATGCCAGTCCGCTATTTGTCATGACATGTCATGACTTACAAATCCTACTTACAGAGTATCCCGGCCGAGGGTGACAGAGTGACCCCCCCCCCCCACCTGTAAAAAAACCGTATCCGGAAATTTGATCGAAAGAAATTTCGTCGACGGTAAATTGGTCGACGGTAATATGATCGAACGGAAATATCCGGAAATTTGATCGAAAGAAATTTCGTCGACGGTAAATTGGTCGACGGTAATATGATCGAACGGAAATTTGCTCGAATCTTCTTTTCAATTTTTACGTTACAATTTTGCATCAAATTTCTTTTAGAACGAATTATTTTGTTTTACTAAATAGTATAATGCGTTCAAAAAGAAATTTGACGAAAATTGTAACGCGTGAACTGAAAAAAAGATTCGACCAAATTTCTGTTCGATCAAATTACCGTCGATCAATTTACCGTCGACGAAATTTCTTTCGATCAAATTTCCGGTAACCGTAAAAAAAAAAGCCCTAGTGGCGACCATGCCTCTCGATGTGTTCAGTACCCACTTGTCACCTCCAGGATGGAGATCAAATACGTCGTATGTGTATTTAAATGGTTTCTGTGTTAGGCCTGCATTAGGGGCAGTGTGGTGAACTGGCGCAAAGCTTTATACATCAAGATTGCCATACAAACAAAATGGAAATAATGAGATGAAAGCTTCTTTCAATAAACCAGGGAATTTCAACGTAACACCTCAGGGCAGCGGTTCTCATTTAATCCGACAGGGTAGACCCATTTCGTTAAAAATTTCTCTGCCGGGTTTGAAAATAATGCGTCCGCTGAATAACATCGATATAAAAAGATTTATTTCGTAACGTTGTGAGCTTCGAGCACATCCTCTTTCGTTAGAGAGTTGTCCCTGCTTCAAATACCAAAGTATCTGACACAGTCTGGATCAATAGCACAACATTAGGGGATCCTCTACTCTAATAAAAGTTAGGTTTTGTTACTTTGACCTTCTCCTCCCAGAGTCATTTCGTAATTCAATAGTTGAAAAATCCACACCATTTAGCATTTTGCTCTAGTATTTCAAAGAAGTCGGTCAGTCGGAAAGCAAGCCATGAAGAAACCGAGATTCACACTGCTGAACAGGAACGCTGAAGACGATGTGGTACACAGGACTACGTGCTAGTCAGAAAGAACAAAAACAGAATGCTAAAAATACCGACTCGCATCAAAGGCGACGGAATGTATCGAAACCTTTCAACAAGAGAGTTACCAGCGCAGTTGTCACTGCGGTAATGTGTCATGTGCTATGTATGCAGTTGCTGTCGTAATTTTTTTAATGTAATGTTATTATATGACCTAGAACCTCTAAGTGGGCATTGCTTCATAATTGTTACATCTATTCAGTTTACACGTTTTTCTGTTTGGACTTTTTTTTTAGTATTCAATCATGTCAGTCCATTGAAGGAAATGGGTAAAAAGTCATGTGAACGTTAGGGGCAACGAACAAGCGGACATTGCCCGGTCACATCCATTCATCTCTTTCAGTACAAAAGGGTTCTTGGCGGACAATTTAAGGATAAAAGTAGTACGGACTGTGGGATGTCATAGAGGTTTTCACACAGACATGCTCCAATCCAGCAAGTGGAAAGTGTGACGCCAGCATTAGAGCTTGGTACTCAGATGCAAGTGAACACTGTCCAACAAAGTCCTACTTTTACTGGCTAGACCACAACGGGGCCACGAACTGTCGGCATTGCACGCTCGCCCCCAGAAACGCTAAAACATACTTTTCACTGCGTGCCCAAAACTTGTATTTGGGAGAGCAAGCATGGCAGGTGAGTCCTACCTTAATACCATGTTGAATGGTATAACATATCAGATGGACAGTGTTGCCAATAGTGTACCGGAGTCATACAGACTGAGAGCTCATTCCAAACTCCCACTCCTTTCCCACCACCCCACCCCCACAAGACTATAAACATTATTTGTCACTCTAATATTTTCTTGCTGTTAAGATTTCCCATCGATGACAGCACGAGTTTAGCCCCATGGTATAGTTTCACAAATCAATAAATGAATTTAAGATAAAAATCATGTACCTGTAGGTAAAACGAGAATGTGCGGGAATAGGACATTGGGTCACCATGGCCACACCGTCCATAAATTGAGAATGTCTCTGCGTTAGTCCATGCCAGTGAATGGACGTCCCCTCAGACACTTCCATTCTGTTGTCCACTGTAACTTCTACTGTGTCGCCTTCACATACCTTAAAAAAGATAAACACCATATTTTTAGACATCTTATATGCACGTATAATCTATATATATAATTCGCCAGCAACTGTCAAACAACAAGAAGGGTCAAACAACACGCAGGCTATATATAGATACGCCAGAGCAAGCAAGACGCAGGCAAACCCTCCCTTCCCTTGCCACCCTCACTTGCCAGCCAGCTCGCGGCGTATGCTAAGCCGCGGGTCGACGTGAAATAAAAAGTGTGCCGTGACGAGTCATGAAAAAAAAAGGAGGGGGGGGGGGGTAGCAAAATTGGCATTCTTAAATGTGCGTAGCTTGAGTTCACGTTTTTGTCAAGTAACTTTAGTAGATGGGAAGTTCACGCATTGATATCGCCAATGTTTTGCGGGCTCCATTTAGTATTTACTATTGAAATAGAACAAGATCGGAACACTCATTTTGATTTGGGAGCCGGTAAAAAGATCTAATCGGGCTCAGAAAGTTGGCGTGGGGGGGGGGGGGGGGCGGATGTATTTGTCACAAAATCTCGGTGGCTTATAGATAAAATAAAAATATCTAAATAAATGTGTAACACTCTTATTTTCATGTCAAAGATCGGAACACTCATTTTGATTTGGGAGCCGGGAAAAAGATTTAATCGGGCTCAGAAAGGGGGGGGGGGGGGGGGGGGGTGGCGGATGTATTTGTCACAAAATCTCGGTGGCTTATAGATAAAATCAAAATATCTAAATAAATGTGTAACACTCTTATTTTCATGTCGAAATGTAATATAAAGTAGGTAGGGGCGAATATTGAAATGCAATACAAAGTAGTTAGTGGTGAACATTGAAGTGTAATACAAAGTACGTAGTGGCGGAAATTAAAATGTAATATAAAGTAGGTAGTCCCGAAAATAGAAATGAATCAACGACCAAATACTTTGATCACCCAAGAGCAACTTATAAATTTGATCAGTTTCCATTCTTTAACAAATCTGAATTTGTTAAAAAATCTTTGATTTGCATATCGATCGCTTCCACTTGAGGTTCTACGGGTGACAGCTCCGCAACAACACACTCAAACTGGTTTTGGAATAATCGTATTTGTATTTCTCTGGTAGACATATTGAGATAAGGTCCTGATATAGCTCGTAAAAGAACTACATGCACAAACGGCAGGCATTGGGAAAAAGCTTTCTTGATTTCGGCATAGAAGTTACGTGAAAAAAAGCTAGGATTTGAACAAACTTCATTTATTTTCTGGAAGGCCTTCGCGTCGGTGTGCATGTCGGACTCACTGTGCGTGTCGGACTCTGTGTGCATGTCCGATTCGCTGTGCATGTCGGACTAGGTGAGCATGCCGTACTCGCTGTGTATGTCAGACACAAGCTTTGAAACGCCTTGAAATGTGAGATTTAATTCCCTAGAGTGTTTGGTTTACTTTTCAGAAAAGCTTAATTTCCATAACCAATCGCTGTTTGTAAGTAACATGCGAGTGTGGCTCTTGTCATTCAATAACATCTCAATCTCAGGTCTTTGTTAAAATAGATTTGCCCGCCCCCAACCCCCAAAAATATATAATTAATCTGCCTGAAGTATGTAGGTTTAGTCCTTGTTTATTTTTGTAAAATATTCACAGACTGTCGATAATATATGCGAAGGAAGAGCATAGATTTCACAGTGGAAATCACATGAACCGTGACACGAGATATATCCTGACATTTCCCCCACAACGCCTGCGGCGTCTTTGATGCACGAACAATTCACACATATCTACATGTCAACACTTAACGGTACTTCATTCAGTTCAACGTTTTTTGTTTGTTTGGTTGTTTTTGTTTTTTTTTGGGTTGTTTTCAACTACGTTTAAGCAGAAACGTATAACTGCTAGATTACGTTCCATAGAATAAACAACAAGTGATTGAGTTTTGTGGATGTCCAAACGGCCACCATAATTTTAGATTTAGTTTCATTTTAAGTTTTATCCGTTTTTCTCTCCACATGCGTTGATTCTTTGTCGAACATTGAAGACGTGCGTTATGTTTCATAGCCAAAATGTTCTTTTCGACTCACACTCATAATAGATAAAGAGAAGTCTGTCACATACTTAAAACTGAAAGACTCTACGACACTCCCATTGGTGATGGTTTAGAACAGCAGTCCTGAAAAGGGGGGTCGGTAAAACCGGTCATCGAACCTTATGCTGGCGGTCCTCACATTTAAATTTTTATGGTAAAAAAAGAAAATATACTAAATGAATCTGGCCACGGTTCTTGGTCAAATTCCGTACCTGTCCACTGGTCCTCTCAAACTCTAGAGCTTGGTGAGCGCTGCTTTTTTTGTAAGCGCTGGTATCACATCTCAATTAAACATTTGGGATGTTATACTTATCTGTGTTAGAAAACTAGGGGGGGGGGGAATAAATTGTGATTGATGTGAGTTTAAACGTTTCAGGTTTGTGGGGAGGGGGTGGGATCAAATCGTCTGTTTTCGTCTATCTGTAACACCATAGCGTTTGCACATCGTGGTCTTGCTATTTCATTCCCTCGTCTGGAACGCAGCCCTTGCTGAATTATCAGCCATGGCCTGGAAGAGACTAATTTTTATACATGACCTAGTGCAGACCAAGTGTTTATTTTTGTTGTTCGTCCGTCGAGGATCGACGATGACCATCGAGTCGTCTGGTGACCGATGACTTGCGCTAGTGACTTTTCTTAAAGTGAGGAAGAGTTGCGCGGCGTCTGCCTCACTCACTCGTCCGGGCCCACCATATCCAGTGGCAGGACTCTACGTCAAGACGACCAGGGATGGGTACGGTTGCAGGAATTGTCATTGTATGCGCCCTACGGGACTCCAACTCCGGGTTGGAATTCAGAGTTTCCTTCTCGTAGATCAGTTGCCGACCAAGGTTAACGAGTCTCATCCACCCGGGATGATGTTTTTGCTTGACCGGCCTTTGGCTGGAATTGAGGTTTGCTCAGTTTAGACCATTCGGCCATCCATTCACCCATCTAGTGAATGATCATGGCGTTCTACGTGTCTGGCCATGCTCTCAGCGATTCACAGGTTCTTCCGCACAATTTGCCGGATCCAGTCTTTACATGCTATGGGGCACAAGCCCTTTTTCCCGAAAGTTCTATGCCTTTCGGCTACCCTCAACCTGGAATCGTTGCCTGAGTTTTGGTCGCTGTGCATGTTACAGCTTCTTGGAACCACAGGTGAGAGCTGAGTTCAGAGACTTCCGGCTGTTTCCGAACAAGATGGCTTCTTACTATTCAGTCTAACAGTAGATCTATATTGTAGTTGTATTTAGAAGGAGAAATACGTTGATAACAGCATAAATTCTGATCCTGAATGAAACCGCAAAACAATTAAAATTAATTAGAAGTTCGAATTTTCTTGCGCTGAAGCCAATTTCTAATAATCATTTTTAACTATCTCCCTTGCTTTACTGAAGCGCCTTCACACTGAGATTCCTTCCTTTTGTGTATTATTATACCGCCATCTTGTTGTAGCCGGAAGTGTTATATATGACCTAGTACAAACCAATTATTTACCATTAACTAGTACAGACCAAGTGTTATATATGACCTAGTACAAACCTAGTGTTATATAAGACTTAGTACAGACCAAGAGGTATATATGAACTAGTACAGGCCAAGTGTAATATATATGACCTAGTACTGACTAAGTGTTATAAATGACCTATTATAGACCAATTGTTTCGAAAGACCTAGTAAAGACCAAGTTTTCTAGTTAAAAAGGATGAATTATTTGTCATAAATTCATATTTTTGTTTACGTTTTTGGTTTCAAATCTAAATTGTATTCCAAGTTGTTACACTCCTTAACAATTCATAAGTAATTTTATTTGAATAAATGTTAATACAATTTTTTGAAAAATTTGTATTTTTTCAGCATGGTCACTATCGTATTTTACATTGATTTGTATGGGGAAAATTGTTTCGTTTAACGAGTGTTTCGCTTAACGAGTAAGAGTCTGGAACGAATTAAACTCGTTATGAGAGGTTCCACTGATAATTTCCCCCCATCATTTTCGATGTATGCAGAATGTATGAGTGAACTAATTTCAAAATATTAAACATTTCATTTACGGCTTCGGCATCGGTTTCGGCCGAAAGTCATTTTTTTAACTTTCGGCCTATTTTCGGTTATGGCCGAAAGTCATTTTTAACTTTCGGCCCAGTTTCGTTTTCGGCCGAAACAGAAAATCACTTTCGGTCGGTCTCTACAACAAAGAAAACCATGTCTGACCTCTACTGGTGGTCCAGGCATAATCCTATTAGCTGTCTTGATGCCCCGTGACACGCCGTCCCCGGGGACACAGTGACGCAAGTAGCAATGCGAGAGGTTGAACGGGCATTCGTGGCACGCCTTTGACAGGATGTAATAGTTCTCTAGAACCCAGGTGTATTTACACAGTCTGGACGGGGCACCGTCTTCACACGCCCGTATGCAGGGATGATCTTTGTAATCTGGTGGGCAGAAGAAGGAATCAACAGTTTTAATAAGACAGACGCTGGTTCCTGCTCGTGAGGAACGCGTCCCCGGGGAAACTCGGGGGCGTCCACATTGGCTTTGCCTCTTCGTGGCAGACTAGTAGGGAGGTGCTGTTCTCCCGAAGCTAAAAACCCCGGCCGACCGCATGACTCCCAACGAAACGGGAGCAGTAACGTCGTAACATGATTACGTGTTGCCGTTGGTGGATATGAGGCTTGGGTGGCGGTTTACAACCCATGCCGATGATTTTAGCTAAGCGGCCGGGGGAAAACCGCTCCTAGGCGACCGTTTCGTCCCAGCGTACCGTCCCGACCGAAAGACTACGTGGGTGGTGGGGGTGGCAACGTAACACCATTCCTCCAGAGGGGAAGCAAAGCCACCCAATGTCCAGAGTGGCGGGGAAACCCAGCGTTGACTCTTGTGGGGGGTTGCCGGGAGAAGGGGGGGGGGCAGTAGGAGCTCACGCTCGCCGGCCCACTGACGCCATTTCCCCTGTGACATTTTCACTAAGAATCCAGAGTGGCGGGGAAACCCAGCGTTGACTCTTGTGGGGGTTTGCCGGAAGAAGGGGGGGGGGGCATTAGGAGCTCACGCTCGACGTCCCACTGACGCCATTTCCCATGTGACATTTTCAATAAGACAGACGCGTGACAAGACAATACCATCATATATTTTAAGACTACAGTATTCATATGTAATAAATTCAATATGTTGAATGTTTTCTGTAATATTTTCGAAAAATAAAATAGTCAATGAAAGCTGTCCCCTCCCACGAGCTCCCTCCCCCCAAACCCCATACTCCTTACCTCATTCCCATGACCTCATACACTGAACCCCATACCTCTTACCCAATACCCCATATCCCTTCCCTATACTCCTTAACCCAAACCCCTTACCCCAACCCGATTACCACATACCCGAACCCTATACCCCTTAAAACATACCCCTGATGTTTACGGGTAAATAAATATTGACTTCCAACGTTCGCTCCATTAAAACTAGTGTTACATTTGTTTGTCAACAATTCGATGACTTATGTCCAGGTGTTTGGTTTTCAGTCAGCATTTAATACGGGGGTTTCCAACCTATTAAGATACCTGGGCCACATAGGAAGAAGACGAGTTGTTTTGAGCCACATATAGAATACACAACACTAAATATAGATCAGGCTGATGAGCGACACAAAAAAAAACAACAACAACAAAAAAAAAAAACAACAACTAACAAACAAAGAAAATAAATTAGAATTCATAGTTAACATATTAAAGTCGTTTCAGCTTAATTAATTCACGAATTCTTTTATTGTAAAAGTTAAAGAACGACGGCAGCAGTAGTAAGATGTTTGTTTGGCATTACTTTAGAGTTGACATGACTGCTTCGAAACTCGGTTTCTATGGACGTTCCTTGAGCTGCTCATCAGATGGTTTTCTGCCGTTTTTGTTTCACTTGCGTACGTTAGTTTTATTGCTCACGGGCTTCATCCTTGAAAATAGTTTCTCATAAATTTATATTCTTCAAAATAGCAATGACATGAATAAGCCATTATTGTAAAGCGAGAGATATTTTTGCTCTGGGGAGATATTTCGTATAGAAGTCCAAGTAAAGAGTAACGACCAACTTTGTCTTTAAGTTGAATGTCACGTTGTACCTTCCTTGCATACCATTTGAAATTTGGCAGGCTATGTTTTATGTCGACTGAAAATGGAGTCCCCAATCTACTAAACACAATTTTTTTTTTCAAAACATTTGACACATGTTCTCAAATTCCTGCATAAAATTAAGAAGCAAAGCTGCAGATTATTTTTCGTTCAAACCCAAGCAAACGCAAAAAAACCCGGTTGGATGGGACGCGTTGAACTAACACAGTGGTTCTCAACCTTCCTTATGCCGTGACCTTTTAATACAGTCCCTCATGTCAGGCGACCAACAACCAACAAATTATGTTCGTTGCCAGTTCATAACTGTAAAGTATATGTGTTTTTCGGCGGTTTTAGGCGCCTCCTGGGAAAGGGTCATTCAACCCCCAAAATGGACGTGACCCACAGGTTGAGAACCGCTGACCTAAGAGAAGGCAAACTCTATAATCAAACCCGAAATGGAGCCCCGTAGGCGGTATGACAATGACACGATGAAAACTTCGACAACTCCTTCGACGTAGAACGCATAAAGAGCACAGTGCTTCCACATACCTCGTTTCGCTATTTCATTCACACAAGACACACTGCTGGGGTGGGTCACCAACTGCAGCATATTCTATTTACATTTCAATCGTCTTTCCCTTGTCTCAATTTGAAGCCCCAGAAAGACAGATTCTCAACTCAAATTTTTAACAGATTAATTTAAATGAGATGAGTCCTCCAAAAGATTGTAATTATACACATTGTCAAATTTAACACATTCACATAAAATATTACCTGGTAATTCATAATCTGTTTCATCTGCATATGCTGAGCTTAGACTTAGGCAAGTAGTTGTAGCTATGAGTATGGCAATAGACAACCGTAATGAATTCATGACTAAGAAAGAAGAAAGAAATTAATTTGCAAGATTTTAAAAAATTAAAATTGAAATGATTTATTTTTAAAATGATCTTTTCATAAAACATGTCTCCATACTTTCCTTTGAATAAAAATTTGAAATTGATCATAAATGATTTTTTTTTTTTTTTTTTTTTTTTTTTTTTTGTGGAAAAATCATGAATACAGTGAATAACATTAATTGTGTTGTTTCTGATAACTTTACAAAAAAATGTTTTATTAACTAAACAACGTGGATCCACATAACAATTGGCTTTATCAACATTAGAGAAAGAAAGCAGCAAAAATAAAACGAATACACTAACTTTCCAATAACTTACTTTGATCTCATTAATACAATCAAAAGAAATGAAATTTAATCTATATCGAATATCTCAGAATGTCCAGTCACCAAAATGTCCAGTCACCAGAATGTCCAGTCACCAGAATGTCCAGTCACCAGAATGTCTTGAGCGTCTTATGAACGTCTCCGCCTGGTGACTCTTGGTAACGCACATTCTTTGCGTCACCCCATGGACATTCAACTTTTTATCAACATGTCAACTTGAATGGCAGGGGCGGATGTGTGTGTGTGTTTTTTTTAGGTAGTTGTAACACAAAGAAATGGTAAAGAGAAGCTCCCCCATTTGGGTCAAAATAAATGATTTTTGAGAAAATAGCGAATCTTTTTTACTCTTTATTTTGCCAATTTTTTTAAAACATTAATTAAGTTAGACTTTGAGACACACTTTACTTTGAGTACCCTGGTCTATCGTCGTGTAAATATTTAGACGAAACATAGAATATAATGGATTTTAAAGGGAGGCGTTTTAACATACTCGTGAGGCGTTTTAACACACTTATGAGGCGTTTTAACACCCTTATGAGGCGTTTTAAACACCCTTATGAGGCGTTTCAACACACTTATGAGGCGTTTTAAGACACTTATGAGGCGTTTTAAGATACTTATGAGGCGTTTTATAACACTTATGAGGCGTTTTAACACATAATGAGGTGTTTTAACACACTTGTTAGGCGTTTTAAGATACTTATGAGGCGTTTTAAGACACTTATGAGGCGTTTTAAGACACTTATGAGGCGTTTTAAGATACTTATGAGGCGTTTTAACACACTTGTTAGGCGTTTTAAGATACTTATGAGGCGTTTTAAGATACTTATGAGGCGTTTTAAGACACTTATGAGGCGTTTTAAGATACTTATGAGGCGTTTTAACACACTTGTGAGGCGTTTTAACACACTTATGAGGCGTTTTAACATGTGATGAGACATAACAAACTTGTGAGGCGTTTTAACACAATTGAGAGGCGTTTTAACACACGTTTTCCTAAACACCCTAAAATTAAAATTGAAAAAATGAAATAAAATAAATAATTTAAAAAATGAAGGGACTTCGTTAGTACTGAATGTTACAAAAATTAGTAAAACTATAGTGCTGAAAGATTCTTTGTTAAACATTAACACTGGAAGAGAAAAAAAAAACGTGCCCATTCTGTGTTTTGTTGTTAATGAAAGCCAAACGCGACATCCCTTGACCTTCACCCTTGACCGCCCCCCTCTCTACATCATTTGCAGCAACGCCTATGGCTGTACGACCATCAGAGCGGAACTATTAAAATAGAGCGGAGCGTATGAAGATCAACCACCATAAAGCCCCAGCCCCCGCTTCCACCCACTTCACTGCCAGATGGTTTTCTTCACACGATCAGAGTTGTGTCCCATGTCCCCACAGCACTTTTGGTCGTGTTCGTTTCAGGAGACGAACAAAAATTGTAATGGGTTGTATGATGGCTTGGGTGTATGACGGGTTGTTTGTATGATGGGTCCTATGATGAGTTGTATGATGGATTGTAGGATGGGTGTCACAGAGTGACTATTAAGCCAAGGTCAACCATAGCGAGTTAGAGAGAGAGAGTGGCAAGGATAAGGGGGAATAATTAAACACCATGCATTGTGGAGGGTTCGGACCTGGATGCCACAGGTGTTGGGGGTACCGACCGACTAAAAAGGGCCGGCGTGTCAGCAGGGTTACCAGCATCTGACCAGGGGCTAGCTTATCAGATTTCCCTGGAACGACTGTTGCGCTATTGCGTTACGGTGGTTTAGGACCATTTCAATTGTTCGCGAATTTAAGTACACGAGGATTTGGGAGTCAGATTACAGAGCTGGGAGGGAGCCTCCATGGGCTCAGGAATTATAAATAGGGACTGTTGGACAGGACTGGGGAGAACTCAGCCGGACAGGGTAGCGGACAGTCAGGGAGAGCTCCGTCCGTAGAAGTAGTAGAGGACTGTCAGAGTTACCATCCACCTAAAGCAGTTAGGCATATATATATCAACAACTTGTTGGTAGACACCACTGAACACACTTTGAACAACATTAGAGAGAGGGGAAAGAATTGGACTTGGACTTACCCTGTGCTAGTTTGCTAGAGAGGTAAGTGCATGTAAGGTGTGTGATTGAAGAAGCTGTAGGGTGGTTGGTGTGATCGAGAGTTACGTTAGGTAGACGGTAGTAGTTTAGAAGACGACGGTGAGTATCTAGTTGGAAGTTAGGAATGATCACATAGTGTGGGGGATTTATTCATATATTTCAGGAATAGTCGCCCTTTATATTGTCGTGAGAGTAGATGCTAGCAGACCGACCATCTCAAGCACTTGGCAGTGAGACGAATGTGCATAGTTCCATACATACGCTAGACGGAAGACAGTCCCACGAGAGTCCACCAATAGAGTCCGTAGCGTGTCGAGAGAGTCGTAGACCAACGTGCCTGTATCGTGCAGTCGTAGTCAGCAGATGTGCTTGAATGATTGAGGTTATAGGGCAACCATTACAAGTGTCTTGGTGTATTTTTATATATAAGTTACAATTACATTACATCATATGTTGTGCTGTATACATTGAGTTTCATTTCAGTCACTTATACATTTTAGATAATACACTAGAAGTTGTTATTTTAAGTTAATTGAAGACTTCTTTGTTATTGTATTTAAGTTGTGTTTCCTTGTCTTGTACACACAAGCTGGTCCCAGAAAAGGTAGAATTTAGATCCAAGCGCTGCGTAGCGTGAAGGAGCTCGTGACATTGGGTTTCTTTTTTCTTTTTTTTATGGTGCTATATAATGGTTTCTATGGTGGTTTGTATGATGGGTTATACACTACCACGACACAAGACACGAGACAAGTGTTCCCAAAATGTTAAATGCCCACCACCTGCAGTTCGGAGCATGGAATTTGTTTTTTCGCGGCCTGGATTGGCCTAGAGATCCACGCTGTAAGATTGAACTTACGATATGGGAAATATTTCTGTATTTCACACAGTGACAATCAATGACAGTTCTTAAATTTTTAAAAAAAATTACTCTAGCATTCAACCCCCTTTAAATGTAAACACATCTTTTTAATTCCAGTGAATAAGCTCCAATTATCCCCCGTGGGGGGCACACTCCCAACCCGTTGGGAAAGAGAGAGATTAATTACTACAAATTTATTAACATGGTTTGCGCCAAAAATATACAGTAAGGGAACTCTGGCATCGACTGCGTGTACCTTGTGGTGACATCGAAGTTGTGTTGTGTAGTTGGAAAAGGGTCCTGGGTGGAAGGAAGAGCATTTCATAGCTGATGATGAGGAAGGCTCTTACCATCACACAGAAAGATATAAAGGTATGGTGATCGAAGAATTTCTTCAGGAATTAGAAGGTTCTGCTGTGCATGACACTTTCACACGAATAGACAACCAGACAATTCCCACGATATAACACCACCTGATGCCTACATTACTCCGTTGTAACAACAACTGATGCCTACATTACCTGATGTAACACCACCTGATGCCTACATTACCTGATGTAACACCATCTGATGCCAACATTACCTGATGTAACACCCTCTGATGCCTTCATTACCTGATGTAACACCATCTGATGCCTACATTACCTAAAGTAACACCACCTAATGCCTACATTACCCGATGTAAAACCACGTTATGCCTTCATTACACCGATTTAACACTACCTAATGCCTACTTTACCTGATGTAACACCACCTGATGCCTACAATCACCAGTTGTAACATCACTTTATGCCTAAATTCCCCCGATGTAACACCACCTGATTTCTACATTACTTGATGTAAGAGCACCTGAAGCCTACATTACCCGATGTAACACCACCTGATGCCTACATTACCTGATATAAAACCACCTGATGCCTACATTACCTAATGTAACACCACCTGATGCCTACATTACCTAATGTAACACCACCTGATGCCTACATTACCTAATGTAACACCACCTGATGCCTACATTTCCCTGATGTAACACCACGTTATGCCAATATTCCCACGATGTAATACCACCTGATGTCTACATTACTTTATGTAACAGCATCTGATGTCTATATTACCCGATGTAACACCCCATGATGCCTACATTACCTGATGTAAGAACACCTGATGTTTAAATTACCCGATGTAACACTACTGATGTCTACATTACCTAATATAACACCACCTGATGTCTGCATTACCCGATTTAAAATCACCTGATGTCTAAATTATCTGATTTTACAACCACCTGATGCCTACATTACCTGATGTAACACCACCAAATGTCTACATTACCTCATGTAACTCTACCTTATGTCTACATTTCCCGCACGTAAAACCCCCTGATGTCTACATTACTTGATTTAACTCCACCTTTGTCTACAATTCCCCCATGTTAAACCACCTGTAGTCTACATTACCTGATGTAACTCCACCTGATGTCTACAATTCCCTCATGTAACACCACATGATGTCTACATTACCTGATGTAACCTGATCACTAAATTACCTGATGTGACACTACCTGAGGACTACATTACGCGACGTTATGCCACCTGATGCCTACATTATCCTATGTAACACCACATGATGCCTACAATACCTGATGTAACACCACCTTATGTCAAAATTTCCCCGATGTAACACCACCTGATGTTTACATATCCCCCATGTAACACAACCTGATGTCTACATTACCCGATGTAAAATTACCTGATGCCTACATGATCTGATGTAACTCCACCTGATGCCTATACTACTCCGATTAAACATAACCTAAAGACTACATTACCTGATGTAACACCACCTAATGCCTACATTACCTGATGTAATACCCACCTGATGCCTACATTACCTGATGTAATACCCACCTGATGCGACATTAACTCATGCAACACCTACTGATGCTTACAATACATGATGTAACTCCACCTCATGCCTACATTTCTCCCATGTAACACCACCTGATGTCTACATTACCTGATGTAACAGCACTTTATGCCTTCGTTAAACCGATTTAACACCACCTGATGCATCCATTTTCAAGTTGTAACACTACTTTATGCCTATATTCTTCCGATGTAACAACACCTGATGTCTACATTACCCTATGTAACACCACCCGATACCTACATTACTTGATGTAACATCACCTGATGTCTACATTA